GGGTTGTATGATGTCGCATGGTGTTGCTGCTTCCCAGCTACCCTAAAGGGCTTAGCGCAACAGTGGTTAGGCAACTTGCGGGCTGGTTGTATTAACAGCTTCAAGACGCTTGCGTTCTTGTTTGCTTCAAACTTCTTTATGAATATCCCTTACAATAAAACATGTCTCGACCTGAGCAATGTGCATTAGTGGGATAGAGAAGGGCTACGCTTCTACAACTGGCGGTTCAATCTGGTGAGAATCCAGATTCAAGGGTTGTTTGACAAGGTAGCCTATACAGGCTTCTTCAAAGGTATGAAGAACAGGTCGACGTTCCAAGATACGAGTTCCACAAGGACGATTACTCCCTCATGGAGATCAACAATCGGCTGACTCTGGAGAAGTTGACTCTAATGAAAGGTTCTGCTGAAAATCAGAACAAAAACAAGCACTGTCATTACCATGAGGATGTCGACCATGACACCAACGACTTCTTTAGCCTTAAGCGGACGCTTAATCGTCTTGTCGACAAAGGAGTGCTGCAATCCTATGTGAAGTTAAAAGTGACTTCCAAAGCGAATCCGAGACAGTCTAGCAAAAAGACTCCCGATCCTACTAGTAGTTCTAAAACCGATGAGGAGCTAGTCTACACTATACAAAGCGAATTCTTTAGAGGTGGCCCGACCATGCGGGGCACCAAGGACCATCTGAGAAAGATTATCCATTTTGTTGAATAGGGACATGCGGATGACACAACCGCCTTCCTCAATGTCATCATCACCGAGAAGGACAGGGGCAAAGTCCGTCGGCCGCCTGATAACCCTGTGGTCATAGAATGCAAAGTGGCCAACCAAAAAGTTGGTCGCATCTTTATTAACACAAGAAGCTCCTTTGACATTATCAGCCGCAAATGCCTATCCAACCTCAAATATAGGCTGGATAACATGCATGATGTCTCCCATCCACTTGTCGGATTTGGGGAGGAGTTGTGCACCTAGTCGGACGAATAGATCTGATTGTCCAGCTGGGAGAAAAAGGATAACAGTCGGCACATGACCATCCAATTTCTGGTGGTCGAAGAGTTGACCGCCTACAATCTTATTCTTGGTCGACCCACTCTTAACGAGTGCAATGCCATCATCATCCTTTCTCTGATGCTGGTCAAGTATAAGACGGATGATGGAATTGTTGGCTCCCTTAACGGGAACCACAAGACGGCTCGAGAGTGCTATCTCTTGGACGTCAAGCCTTCGGCAGCTACTGTCGGCCAGGGCAATAAGAAATAGACATTGAAGAAATCAAGGATGATCATTCGACCATATCAGCCGCCAAGAAAAGAAAAACTGACCAGCTGGTGGTGGTAAAAAATGAAAAGCAATAGCAATCACTGACTGGGGAACGATCAGATGACCTATGTCCCCAACCAGCTGGTGAGCACATTGATATTCCTCTAGATGAGAGTCGTCCAAAGCGATCTGTTAACGTGGGGACGATTGCTTTTACAAAGACAGGTGCGGACTTGCACCATCTAATGAAAAATTTCAAAGACATTTTTGCTTTTAAAGTGGAAGAGATGCCAGGCATCAGCCCAGATCTTGCTGTCCACAAACTGGCCGTGGATCCAAAAAAGAAGCCCATTCAGCAAAAGAAAAGAAATCATGGCGAGGAGAAAATTCAGGCGGCAGCCGCCGAAGTAAAAAAGCTGTCGGGTTCATTCAACAATGTAACTTCCTTGACTGGGTTACAAATGTTGTTCTTGTAAATGATAAGTGTCATTTATGACACTCACTTGGTTCTTTTTAGGATGAATTTCATGCTATTCTTTAGCTCTTTTACTTAGTTTTTCCTTGATTTTAATCTTTATTTCTTTTAGTTGGCATTTTCTTAGTTTGATTTCTTCCTTTATGCATTTCTTGGTTTATTTTGTTATTTTCTCTTTTATTTGCTTGTTTTCCTTTATTTTCCAGGTTAAGATCGTTTTCAAAAGTTTCTCGAGCCTCTTCCCGAGTTTGGCATTGATTAGGATGATTAGTGGTCTCCATTTGAAGCTCAAGCATGGAGAAGTGTAAGTTCCTAAAGACCTTTAGTTGTGCATTCAAGTCGTGGGGGCATGATTTCTTGTCTTGAACCCGCAAACATGGAGTTTAAAAACTGCAAGGTTTCGTGTTTATCAAGAGCATTAAGTGGAACACACGAGGAGCATCGGAATGATAGGGAAGAGGGCTCCCCTGCTCCCAGGCGCGGGCACGCACGACCTTGGCGCGTCCGCGCGGGCACGCCTCCCTCTAGTGCGAGCGCGCCTGTCTGGGTCCTTGTTTTGTACCCAAATTTGCGCGGCCGCGCTCCCCTTATGGTTGGCCGCACCTGTATGGGTTTATTCAGGGGCGATCTAACTAATTTCTCTTAGTTAGTTTTACTATATATAGATTTTCTTTCTATTTTTAGAGGGAGAAGAATGAGAGAGGATCATTAGGGAATAATTCAAAAATTAGATTAAAATTAGGTTAGGTTTTTAGAGAGAGAAACTCTAGTTTGTAGAGAGAGAAGTTCTTGATTGATGATTGAAGATTAATGATTCCAAGTGTTTTCTCTGTTGAATTGAAGCAAGTTTGTAAGGATTTCTTTATTTTAATGCAATCTTAGTTTTGATTTCAATTGCTTTGTTGATTGTTTAAGTTTTAATTGAATTTGTGTTTGAATTGGTTTTATTGATATGATGATGATTAAATTGTTGATTAGTTTAGTTTTGATCTTAATTTCAATGAATAGTGAGTAGTTTTTCTTGCTAGGGAATTAGTGAAGCATATATGAGAAATTTATTGATGCTAATTGGGGGAAATTGATGGAGTTGATGTTGTGATTAAATTGGTTGATTGATTATGTGCATGTGTGTGTCTAATTTAGGAGTGATCAACCTATTTTCTCACACTAGATTGCATTGTAGGCTCACAATGATACGAAAATTGATTTGTGGCTTACATTTGTCGATCGAGGGGATTTGTGAGGTTCCTAGTTAGTGTCTTTCGTAGTTGGCGCTAGTTTGACCTATAGGAAATTAGTCTATCACTCTCTCTTGATTGCATAATTAACCTTCCCTCGCATCACTCGACTTAGTCATCTCCAATCCCAATTAGTTGAATCATTTACGAGTCTATGTGGATCCATACCCTAGTACTTGATAAGTTTGATTTCAATTTGATTGTTTGTTTGCTTAGTTGCTTATATTACACACACACCTACCCCCTTGACTTCAAGATAGCTTGACTTAGAGATTAGTAGTTAGCTCCCGTTACCTTGGGTTCGATCCTTAACTTGTCGTTATACTTGTATGAAGGTGTGTCAAGAGTTTATAAATTTTGTTTTGACGAAGGGTAGATTAGTTTTCAATGACCTAGTCTCGCCCTATATAAAAAATGGCGTCGTTGCCGGGGAATGGAGTAGATGATTGCTATTGTTGTTGAGTCTGTTTCACCTTATTTGCAGAAAAATACAAAAAGATTTTCTTCTTTAGGCTATATTTGTAGCCGTGCTACTAATAATTTAGTTTGAGATTGTGTGCAAGTGAACATGGGAGAAGCTCAAGGGTTACATTGAAGGAGTTGGGCACTCCGGGTGCATACAAGTATGAGAGCGGGATTACTCCATTGTTGATTCCGGATAGTGATTTTGAAATTAAGCCGACAATGATTACCTTGATTAAGAGGCGACATTATAGTGGTGCATCGAATGAAAGTCCTCTTAACCACCTTAAGGAATTCGAGAAATATTGTAACACTATTAGGGTGAGTGGGGTTGTACAAAAGTTTATAAGGCTCAAATTTTTCCCTTTTCCCTCATAGGGCGAGCTTTGGAATGGTTGGACAAGGAGGTCAAGCCGAATTCTTTAAGAACATGGGACGATGTTACCAAAGGATTCTTATCCCGATTTTACCCTTAAAAGCAAACGGCAGAAGCTAGAACATTGATCCAAAATTTCAAGCAAATGCCTAACGAAAATCTTTATGAAGCGTGGGAGAGGTACAAAGAGTATCAAAGAGAGTGCCCTCACCACGGAATTCCAACTTACCAAACAATTCAAATTTTCTATGATGTTTGAGTCCTCAAGGTAGGTCGAGCTTAGATGTCGGAGCCAGAGGCCCAATCATGAACAAGACGGTGGAAGAGGTTATTGATGTGATAGATGATGTAGTGAGGAACTACATGAGTTGGCAAGAGGTTGAGGAAGAGTCAACAAACGAGTGTGCCTCGGTTGATCAAGTCAATGCCATCAACAAATTGTCTACTCTACTTTCGGACGTAGGGAAGGAGGTGGCTTCTATCAAAGCTAAGCTTGAATATTCTTCTTCACAAGCACAAGATCTTCCCTTCCAAATTAAGGGGAGAGGTACATCTTCTTACTCTAACCCTCTTTTCGCTTCTTGTTGCATAATTAGAGAATGTTTGGCTTGTGATTTATGCGGAAGAAATGATCATGATGCTTCTAATTGTCCAAATGTTCCTTGTGATGGATGTGATGAATACGATGAAAATGAAAATTTGCATGTGAATTATGTTGGAAATAGTGGTTTTGGATCTAGAGTTAATGCTCAAAAGAATGTTGGAAATAGGAACTATCACAACCATAGGAGCTACGATAATTATAACCAAAATAGTGGTTATAGGAACCAAGTAACCTAAGGGTTTCGTGGTAACCATAACAACTTTGGTTGTAATAATCAAAGCTACGACCAAGAATATGGGGATCATAACCAAGGTTGTGGTAATCATATTCGAAATTCCGGCCAAAATCTTGATAAGGGTAATTAGAGTAACCAAAGTAGAGGAAATTTTCAAAATGATGCTCAAAGGGGTTCCTCACCAAAATGTACTCCAATAACTCAATGCCAAAGTGATGATTCCTATGATCAACAATCTCAATTTATGAGTAAGCTAGCAAATTTCATGGTAGATCAAGACAAGAAGTTGGACGATTACATAGCCTCTAGTGACAAAATGTTTCATGCCTATTAACTCATGGAACGATGCTTGAGAACCACATCGTCCAACTAGCTAACCCTTTGAAATATTGTGCTAGCCCATCTTCTTTACCCTCGCAAGAAATTGATCCTAAGGAACCGGTTTGTACTATCACCACTAGGAGTGGTAAGGTCCTTGAAGAGAGTGTTCCTAGGAAGAGTATGGAGGGTGAAGAGGGGAGTGATTCGAGCAAAGAGAGTAAGCATGCAGAGTCTAGCAAGGTGAGTGAAAAATCTAATGAAGAGCCAAAGGAGAAAGAGAAGAAGAAAGATGAGGTTTACAAGCCCAAACTTCCATACCCCCAAAAGTTCAATAGGTACAAATTGGATGAGCAATTTGGACAATTCATTGAGATGCTTAAGAAAATTCATCTTTCTATTCCTTTCACTGAAGTCTTGGAACAAATGCCAAACTATACTAGGTTTCTTAAGGAAATTTTGAGCGGTAAAAGAGATTGCAATATGGTGGAACCGGTGAATTTGGGGGAGTGTTGTAGTGCCTTTATCCATAATGACTTACCCGAAAAGTTAAAAGATCCCGGGAATTTCTCCATCCCTTGCAAAATCAAAGGAAAATTGTTCCAAAATGCCCTTTATGATCTCGGTGCTAGTGTAAGTATCATGCCTTATTCCGTCTTCAAGAGACTTAATATAGGTGAGCTCCTTCCCTCTAATATGACCCTTCAATTAGCCGATAGATCCATCAAGTTCCCGAAGGGAAGATTTGAGGATGTTCCCCTTAAGATAGGATAATTCACAATTACAGTTGATTTCATTGTGCTAGAGATTGCGGAAGATGACCAAATTCCTATCATCTTAGGGAGACCTTTATTAGCCACCTCCGAAGCTTTGATTGATGTTAAGGGAGGTCGTAGTACTTTGAGAGTTGGTAACAATGAGGAAAGTTTTGAGCTAAAACCGATGCATGAGTCTTTGTATTTTGTTAAAGGAATCATGTGTGTTAATTCCCCTTGCTCTATTGATAATGTATGCATGATTGATATTTCAAATAAAGATATTCTTTAGAATTGTGATGATGTGTTTTTGAGTGTTGATTGCAAGAAGGTTAGTGAAGAGAAAAAGGATTTTCCCAATCTCTTAGACGAGGAGGAGATTGACATTCCTCATTGGTTTGAGCTTCACCCTCAAGAGGAGGACGATGATCCTAAGAGTGTTGATGGTGCGAAATCATCTACAAAGACAAACAAGGTAAGGAAAAAAGCATTAGCTTCTAGGAAGAAGAGAACGAGAATGAGGTTATGGAAGGAGAAGCTTGCTTTTGAGGAGTTATCAAATGAAGTCTCATCAAGCAACAACGAGAAGTTGCTAGAAATTGAAGACAAATTTGCTCCTCCCGTCACCTTGGACAAGGTGGTGTTCTTTGACCCTCCGTGATTTGGAGGAAGGGTCGAGCTAAGAACCTTAAGCAAGCGCTTCCCGGGAGGCAACCTGGAGATTCCTAACCTTTTTCTTTTTATTTCAATTTTCCTTAATTTTCTTTCTTTTAGTTTCTGTTATTTTCTTTCACTTGTTTTTACTTTGGATTTATAGGTTGAATTCTTGGAGTTGGATTACATCAAGTGGAGCGAGCTATGGAATGGTGTTTCGCGGTTTTTGATGTGCTTTATGTTCAATTTTATTGAAATTTTGAGGTAAAAGGGGTATGAATTGTTAGGAAGGTAAGTTAAAAAATTTGTGCTTAAGTTTGAAGAAATTGGAACTTGGTGAGTTCATCGTGGTGCTACCATAATTTGGGGTGTTGAAACCACATTTTTAACATTTAGAGACTGATCGTTATACCGAGATTATAAATCCCGGAATGATAGTTATCGATGTACCCACGCATGAACGCCTAGCCCCTGCGCCTAGCCCCTACGCAGGCGCGCCTAGACCCTGTGCGGCTGCGCGCGATGCTGGCGCGGGCGCGCTGCCAAGCCGCACGGCCGCGCACCTCCCCTGCCGTGCTTATTTCTTTCTTCTTTCTTTTCCCTCATTCCCCCTTCACCCTCTTTCTCACGAGCTCATACCCCTTTAACCCTCACCAAAACCGCACCCTCACTCTACACTCATTCATCAAATTTTTCACTCAAATTCAACCAAATTTCCATCATAATTCATCAAATTCTTTTGTAATTCTTCCAATTTTAACAAATTCATACTACATTTCACCCATAACATCCACCAATCTCTCTCCTCCATTGTTGAAGCTTAATTGGGGTTTTTCTTGTGAGTGGAAATTGGTGGCTAAGGATTGCTCTAATTTGCTTCTTGTATGGTATAATCATCTACTCTTGCTCTTTATTGCCTTATTATACCATATAATTGCATGTTTTAGTAATTCATGGGCATGAATAGTAGTAGTATGCATTTTGATGTTTGAGTTTGGATTTTGGTTGGTTATTTATGATGAATAATGGTTGTTTATTGCTTAAGTTGTATTTTTTGTTGTTTGTGTAGCAAAATTGATCATTATTGTTGAGAATTGTTGTGATCGGATTTTTGGTAGTGGTGCTTGGTTGATAATGTTGAGCCTTGGTTCTTGATTTCTTTGAGCATGGTATATGATTTTAAAGCATTTGGTGGCTTGAAGTGGTGGTAATTGTGTGTATTTGGGATTGCTCATCTTTGGTAGTGAATTGTTGCTTGTCGGTTTTGGTTAAGGAGTTCGATTCAAATATTCAAGATTGTTAGTTGGAGTATCTTTGGTGATTGTGGTGTTTTGAGTTGCTAAATTTGAAAATCATCATGTCTAAACACATTAAAAGCCTTTTCAAGAAACCTAAAACCAATGAAGAACCCACTCCTTCTCCATCTACCTCACAACAACGACAACCTACCCCTATACCCAAACTTAGAATTACCGACCCAATCCAAAAAGCTAGACACTCTAAGTTCAAATCAAACTGTTCTTTCAAGCCTTCCCGTCACTATTTTCAATCGAATATGATTAAATTGAGTATTGATGAAGACTTGAGGGAGTTGATCAACAACCTTCGCATGGGATCATTTGTGAACCGGAGCTTCTTTACATATGTTCAACCAACTTTGGAGTTCTTGGCCACGTTTGATCTTGTGGTGGTCGAGGATGATGCCTACCGTGTCCAATTTTAACTCTTCAACATTCAATTCGATCAATCATTGGAAGAGTTTAATGCGGCGCTTGATTTTGATCCAAATTTTGATATTTTGGATCCCGAGCACTTCTTCAACAATGAGTATAATTAGAATTCGTGGTGGGACGATATTTCTAGTTGCGGTGACTTTGTGACCTAGTATTCCAAGATAAGTAAGGTATACCAACCATGTCTCCGGGTTCTCCATAGGCTATTCGGATATTTGGTGTTCCCGAATCAAGAACTGATTAAGATGAGCCAATTGGAACTTCGGATTTTATGGGTGGCCACTTGAGCGGAGCACCGGGGTCGCCTAAACTTGGGGTACAATTTTGCAAGATATTGCCAAGGGTTGCAAGGTAGGGATTCTGGCGAGATCCCTTGTGGGAGCATGGTCACTAGGCTCATGACCAACCTTGAGCTAGGGCATTATTTGCCATCTTGCACTCCGGTGGGGGATGATGATTCTCTTTACCTCGACATCAACAAATTAAAGCAAATCCATTTCTTGGCGAAGAATGATGATGATGAGGTATTTGAGTGGCTAAGGGACAATGAGCATTGGTGCTATCTCCCTAAACCTTCCTTGACTTCTCTCTACCAAGAGAATGTTGCAAACATTTGGCATGTCCCCATTAGTCACCGCCCGCCCTACTTCGATGATGATGAAGAAATGGGTGAAGAAGAAGAAGAAGAAGAAGAAGAAGAAGAGCCACCTCAACAACGACAACAACAACAACAACAACAACAACAACAACATCAAGAGCAACATCATCAATATTCTAGCTCCGACTTAGATGCTCTTAGTGCTCAAATGAAGGGCATGCAAATCTGAGTGGAGGTCATGTACGATCAAGATTTTAAGGCCCTCTATTCTCATATGAGAAGGATTTCGAAGATGCAACAAGGTATGTTTCTCCAACAACAATACTTATATGATGTGGGTGTTAACCGGGGAGAAATCACTCCCCCAGTTAACTACCCTTACTTTCCACCCCAATATGGTCCTCTACCATCTTTTGGGGGTGATGGGGTACCTACGTACCCATATTGGCAAGGACCCCAGGGGTCCAACACCGAGACTCGCTCATTCCTCGATGAGCACGGTAACTACGATTACCGTGTTCCCGGTGGGAGAGATTATAGGGGTGATCCTAACTACCCATATGTACACCCGATCATCCACTACCGTTCGCTTTGCCCGAGAAATTCACTCCTCTTGCCCCTTGGCAAGAAGATAACTTTCGGTGGCATTATAGTTGGCCAACCGGTTACACCGGGGGATGGGATCCTCATGGTCCCCCATTCGGGTTTTCCTATGATGGGGATAACAATGATGGCTCCAGGCCTAGTGGTAATGGTTGCTAGTTCCCCCCATTTTTGTGCTTTATGCCTCCATCTCTTGTATTATGTGTGCTTGCTTTGTATTGTCGGGATGTTGAGATGTATCTTTGTTTAGCTTGGGGGAACTTTTCCTTTTCTTAGGGGTCTTGTCTCGTGGCCAATTTGTTGTTGAAACTAACCTTGCTTCTCTTGTTTCTTTGCATGATGGTCTCATTCTTGATTTTACTTTGATGATGTTTGCTCACTTTCGATGTTGTTGTTGTTATGATGATGATTTGTGTTTTCTCCCTTGAATCCAAACTCCCAAAATCCAAATCCCATGAATCCAAACCCCCAAATCCAAATCCCATGAATCCAAACTCCCAAAATCCAAATCCCATGAATCCAAACCCCCAAATCCAAATCCCATGAATCAAAACCCCCATGAATCCAAATCCCATGAATCCAAACCCCCTTGAATCCAAATTTTGTAGTTTAGTATTTTTGTTGCTTAGTTAGTTGTTTAGTTAGTTGTTTAGTTCTTATTTTCTTATTTTTGTTTTCTTGATAGTTTAGTTTTGCTTATTTTTGCTTTTATTATCTTTTCTTTTGTTTTGAAGTTACTAACCGTTTTCTTTGTCTATAGTTTTCTTTTCCATTTTTTTTCTCACATGGCTTTGATGATGATGCTTTGATTTTTGGAGCTTCTTGCGGTGATTGATTCTTCACCTTACTTTTTTCTTAGCATTGCTTGGAAGTCGGTGAGATCTTTCTTATTACCCTTTATTCTCTTTTATTTTCTTGGATGCATAGTTTAGGATTAGCTTTAGGAAAAGCTGAATGGTTTGAGGTTGGATGCTTTTAACACCTAGAGTGTTTGGGATCATTGACAATGTTGTCATTTGATCACTTGTTTGTCGATTGGGAATTACATGTTGTACTTGCACATTCGTTCCATTCTTTACTTTCCTTCTTTTCCTTTAACTATGTTTTTCCTTTTCTCTTTTCTTATCTTTTATTTTTCTTTCTTTTTGTTTTTGGATTTTGGTATGTTTTTGAGGCTTTATTTGTCATCCTTTCGCTTTTCTTTTGAATTGGACTATATACAACCGATTTTTTCTTTTTAAAGGATATCTTCCTAAATGGTATAGGTATGCACGCTTTGAGAATATGCTTGGTTGACTCTAGGATAGGTGTATGCTAAGGTATCATATTCTAGAACTAGAAGGATCATGAAATCGGATTCTACTTGTTTGTGGCATGTTAGTAGTTGCTTCCTATGGTCGATTTGAAACCTATAATGAGTTTTTGCTACATCCATGTGATGTTCTTCATTTTTAAAGCCTTCTACATAACTTGCATGAGTGGCGTGGATCCTTGACTATTGCGAACCTAATCTTGAATCTTGACTCATAATTCTCAAACACGAGACCAAACCATCTAGGGAGGACAAAGACATCTTTTCGGGGTGGTAATTTTCCTTTTTCGAGGTTTAATCTTATTTATTTCCTTGGGTTTACATTTTCCCTCTTGCTAACCATTTGAGCCTTTTCCCTTCTATTCAAGCCACATATTTAGAATTTTGAGCCTTTTGTTTCTTTTTGTTCCATTTTTGGTTTTTGTGAAGCAAATGGTCTTGTGTTTTGAGTTTGTGGTTTATAAGGTTGGATTTTGGTTCTATTTGTAAGCAAGCTTGTAATTTGTGTATATTTTGTGAATAATTGCAAATGTATGATAGAAAAAGTCGTCCATAGTTAACAAAAGGCAAGGACATAATAAATGCCAAGTCGTAAAAGCCGTCCAAAGTTGAAAGAGGCGAGGATAATTGCTTTGAAGTTATGCATAAAAAAGAAATAGAAACAAGTTGAAAATGAGAAAAAATAAAAAAACTATTTTGATGTGATTCTTTTCCCTTTTCAAGCATTGAGGATAATGCTTCCTTTAAGCTTGGGGGAGAAG